ACTGCAAAAAACTGATAGAGACTCAAACCCAAAATCATATATAGGAAGCTAGATGAAGCCTTTTTTCTAGAATTAGTTAGTATTCTATATGACCATTAATATCATGACAAAAGTTTAAAATATATATATATATATTAATCTTATAAATTTTGATATAAAATTTATACCTTAAAAAAGTTTTAAAGGGTCAAAATAAAACCAAAGAATTATGAGATAGTAGCAATAGAATAGTCCCTTAATTTTGGTTTTTCTTCTGTCCCATATCAGATGGCTCTTCTGACATGATACAGAGATTTTATATTTTCCTTTAATAAGCATGCTTAGGTTTAGAGAAGGAGAGAGCCAACTCCAAAGCCAGCTTTAATTTTTAATTGAACTGGGACTACATAAAGACCATTTGCATTATGTGTCTGTAGAGAACAGCAGAAACAAACATTTAGAAAAAGCTATGAAATTTTCTCTTGTTAGATATTCAATATACCAATAGGCCAATTTACTCTTTTTCTTGGGACATTTTTTCTGGATGATTTGTCTTTTTTCTTCAGATGTCTCATTTGCCCAGTGTTCTTCAGATTCCTTGGCCTTCATTCTCCTGAAAGACAAAAACAAAACCCTTCCCCAACCCTAAAAATTAGGTAAGTCTCCAATCTAATTTTTATCAATTTTGATTTATACTATCTCCTGATTTTTTGTTCTCTCTTCTATAGCTCTTCTATAATCCAAAGCAGTATGGTTTCTTACAATAGGCATTAGGTTCTTTAATTGCTCTGGAAGGAGTTTCCTCTATGATGAAAGGAAAGAACTGAGCAGAATTTGACACAGGGGGCCTTCGAGAGGCCCCTCAGGGTGTTTCCCTACAGTAAAGGCAGGGGATTGCCTTGTCTGTCCCTTGTTGATCTGCATTCATTAGTTCAGTGTCTGTCTTTGCCACATTTTCTGCATAATCCAGAAGGGAGGGGCATTCTTTTGGAATTATTTCTTGAAAAAACATTGTTTCTAGGAATGCCCTGTTCACAGTTCCTTTCTAGGTGACCTTGTTTACCTAAATTGAAACATTTGACATTACTATTTTTCTTCAAACCTCTGGAAATCACCTCTACTATCCGAGCATCATCATGGTTATGAGATTCAATATTGATTGTATCTCGGATCCATTCATCCAAGGGTACTGACTTTGCCTTTAATGGCCTAATTACCCTTTTGCATTGTTCATTAGCATTTTCAAAAGCCAGAGATTCAATTATTATCTGTCTAGCTTCTGAATTTGGTTTTATTCTATTTACTGCTAAAGTCAGTCTGTGTAAGAAATCAGTGAAGGTTTCTTTTGGGCCCTGTATAACTTCAGTAAATGACTCAATTTTCTTTCCCACTTCTTCAATTCTGTCCCAAGCATTCAAGGCTGCTGTGCAGCATAAAGTCAGGGTGTGGTCAACATATAAAGACTGTCTTTGTATATCAGCATAATCACCCTCCCCAAGAAGTTGTTCTTGGCAAATTTCAGTATCTCTAGCCCTACTGCATTGTTCAATGGTCTTAGCCTCATCCATCCACCAGGTCCTCTATTGTAATTGGGGACCAACCTCTAAGACTGCTATAACCAAATCTCTCCAGTCTTGAGGGATAATTCTATTACAAGTTGATCATGAGTTTAACATTTACTTCACAAATGGTGAGTGCATGCCATATGAGACTATTGTTTCTTTGAATTTCCTCAAATCTAACATTTATACAGGAGCTCTTATACAGTCTTGGGGATATCTATCATTTGGCAGTTCCTGTAAGGTTACTGGATGACTTAAGGTTGGCTGTTAGAAAGCCTTAGGCTGTTTCTCCTAACCTAATAATGCAATGCTGAAATTGGTTCTCCTTTAAATTCCTCTGTCTGGATCTAAATATCTCTATGATCTGTTTTAATAAGTTTCCCTAAAACTTATATCTTGGCACTCATATTAACAAACTTTTAAAATGATAAAACAGAAATGATCAAATAATATTTAAAATTCACATTACATAAATCCCATTAACATTAATTATCCTCTCATTTAATTGTTCCATTTTCAGACTGTCTAGTGTATTATCAAACAGAGACCAAACTCCTTCCATTGTAATAATGTTTCCCTTTTTTAAAAAAAATATTAGGGGGAGGGGCTCTCCTTTAACTAATTTCTCCCTTTAAGAAAGCCCAATTGACTCACCAAATCTGCTGATAATGATGAGTGATGATTCGGATGATTGTGTGGCAGCAGCCCGAGGAGGAGGCCCAGAGAAAGCCACGACCCACCCACCAGGAGACAGGTGAAGCCAAAGAGCCAGCAGTCTGCACAGGGGAGCATGTGAAAGTAGCTAATTTCGGCATGTTTGGAGCCTGAGCCTGGGCCTGGGCTTGGGCCTGTGCTGTCAGCTGTCTGCACAGAGGAGTGTGGGAAAGTGGCTGACTCCTGTGGGTTTTGGAGCCCCAAAACCAAGGGAGTTTGCTGCAGAGAGGCTGCAACAAAAAATTAGCCGGCGGGGTAAGGATTCTAGACCAGGTGGGGTGGAGGCTCTGGCAGCATGAAGCTCCAGCCTGAGCCAGTGCCCCAAAAGTTGGAGAGGGACCAGGAGAGCAGATAGAGAATGGATCATCAGTTACCATGTGATATTTGTTGTGCTAGTTAGGAAACCACAATTTAAGCACTATGAGGTAGGCAGTAACTGGACTCTCCACTTTCTTTTGAAATAGGATTTCTCTATGTAGCCCAGGCTGTCCTGGAACTCACTATGGAGACCAGAGTGGTCTCAAACTCATAGAGATCCACATGCCTCTGCCACTGAGTGCTGGGATTAAAGACAAGCCCAGACTGGATCCTTCTCTTGAATCCCATTTCTTAATAGACTCCTTTGGTGTCTGTTTAGTATCCCAACTCCTTAGGGGCTGGGTGGTTCTCTCTCACTTTTGGAGCTTCCAGAATGTTTCTGGGTCCCCCACTCTGCTGTCAGATGAACCTAATAGGGCTGGCATTCGTGACTTCTGTTGTTGTCTTCAAGATGGTCCTGTTTTCTACCACCTTCCCGGACTTTCAGCTGCTGGGAACTTTACCAACTGTACTCATTGCACAGCGAGTCCATCGTGTCTGTGGCTCCTACTTTGTCCTTTTCCGTCAATGGCCAGTCTGTTCTGTGAGAGCTATCACATAGTTTTTTCAGTCTCTATGATCCATCACAATTATTCTAAGACATACACTTCCAGGTGCCATGGACTTCAAACTCATCTCTCTTCGGATGACCCCTTTTATTCCTTCTCTGGACTGACAATCCCCACATTAGCATATAGGGCTCAGAACTGGTCACTGTTCCATATGAGTTCTGACCACACCTCATTAAACCATTGTAGTCTTTCTTCAAAACTTTTGGTGTGTGTGTGTGTGTGTGTGTGTGTGTGTGTGTGTGTGTGTGTGTGTGCGCGCGCGCGCGCGCGCGCGCGCGCGCGTGCGCACACATGTGCAGGCACATTCCGGTATGGAGGCAAAAGGTCAATTTCATATGTTGCTTCTCAGGATGTAGTCCACTGTTGTGGATATCGTTCTGTATAAATAAAACACCAATTGGCCAGTGGCCAGGCAGGAAGTATAGGCATGACAAGGAGAGAGGAGAATTCTGGGAAGTGGAAGGCTGAGTCAAGGAAACACTGCCAGCCGCCACCATGACAAGCAGCATGTGAAGATGCCAGTAAGCCACGATCCACGTGGCAAGGTATAGATTTATAGAAATGGGTTAATTTAAGCTATAAGA